ACCATTGGTAAGAAGGAAATCTCCATATACGCCAAAATATTTATAGCAACACTTTTGGGATAGCAAAGAATTAGAAATAAAGTAGAAGCCCATCCATTGGGGAATGACGAAATGAGTTATGGTGCATGAATGTAATGGAATATTACTGTGCTCTAAGAAATGAAGTGTGTGATGAATGCATCAAAAGATGTACATGCACTGATGAAGAATGAGTGGCAGACCCAAGAAACAACGTATACAATGGCTACACCGCAGAAATGGAAAACTACATACCAAAAAGAAATCAAAAGTTAATGTAACAAAATTAAAATTATAAATTATAATTATAAATACCAATCAGGTAAATGAAGAGAAATGAAAAATTGGGAAGTCCACAGATGTCACGCTTTAAACACGTCTTCAGACTTCTTCAATGTATTGATCATTTGTGTTGAATTTTTTTTCCTCTTTAAAAAAAACATTAAGGCAGCTAAGTGGCACAGCGGATAGAGCAGTGGCCTTGGAGTCAGAAGTACATGAGTTCAAATCCAGTGTCAGACACTTACATGCTAAGTGACCCTAGGCAAGTCACTTAATCCCAATCTTCTCTCTCTCTCTCTCTCTCTCCCTCTCTGTGTGTGTGTGTGTGTGTGTGTGTGTGTGTGTGTGTGTGTATAATTTGTTATTAAGCGATGTCTCTCTGAGAGGGGCTGGGACAGTATACATGGGATACTTATGATGATACAAGAAACAGAAAATATCAATAAAAACTTATTTTTTAAAAAAAGAAAGCAAGATGTTGGCCAGCCAACATTACACATAACTGTCTGAATTTTTTTTAGTCCTTTCCCCCGCCCCTGGAACCACCCCCATAGTCTCCCCTTAGCACTTGCTCCCTCTTGCTCTGCTATCCGCAGGCATAAACACTGGCCTGGCTCCACATTCCAGGACTTGGGGCCATTGCCGGCTTCCCTCCCACGCTGGAGTGCCTGCAGTTTAACTGGGCAGTGAGTCAAGAAGGAGCAGAAGATGAGCCCCTGGATATTGCTCACTAGAGAAGACCCTCTTTCATCTTCGCAGAATGCGTGCTGGGTATGAGGCGTTTGTGTAAAACTCTTTGGAAAGAGAGCGTGGGTGATCTAGGACTCCCATTGGACAGCTTGTATTTCTAGAATATTTTTTAAAGGTAATTAACTGGGAGAATGATCCCTTTCTTTTTTTCATTTTAATTCAACAAGCAGCACGCCTCTCATGCCCAATCTACTGCCAAGTTTGCCCCCCCAATCATTACTCACACCCTTCTCCTCCAATCTAATCCAACAAGCCCTTACTATGTCTCTATACATGGCTAGGTAGAGTGGATAAAGTGCCAAGACTGAAGTCAGGAAGATTCATCTTCCCAAGTTCAAATCTGGCCTCAGATACTTAGTAACTATGTGACCCTGGGCAAGTCACTTAACCCTATTTACCTCAGTTTCCTTATCTGTAAAATGAGTTGTAGAAGGAAATGGCAAATCATTCCAGTATCTTTGACAGAAAAACCCCAAAAGGTGTTGCAAAGAGTCAGACACAGCTGAAACAACTGACTACAAGGCATTGTTGATACAAGGACAAAAATGAACACAGTCCCTGAAGCCTACTATCTGCCAATCACTGTGCTAGGCACCTAGGGGTGATGTGAGGTTAGGGGGAAGGATTCACAGTGGCAGATGCCATTCAGTAGCCTCTCGTGCTAGCGGCCGTAGTCAGAAGCAAAGCCATAATCGGCAGCACAATCAGTCATCCATCACCAGAGACCCCAGATTCCAGATTCCTGTGTATATGGTGACCACAGTCCATAAGACACCTGGGGGCTGCTGTCAGGACCAGTACACTAGGTGCTAGATGACCTGCCAGAGGGGATTCAGAATCCAAGGGAAGACTAGACTAGAAATAAACAGAGCAATGCCCCCCATGATAGCTCCTAGGACAATCTTACACAAGGGACCTCAAGCAAAGGCAGAGGTTGGAAGGAATTTGGGACAAGAAAAAAACAACTTATTTTCCTCTGGAATGACACCTGCTGGGTGCTTGATAAATGCATATTGACTGACTGACAGATTCACTAACTGACTGAAGAAGTCAATGGAAGCTAATCCCCAGTAAACAGTAACTGAAAAAGAAAAATGGAAACTCAAAGATGAGTGTGTGATCATCATACTGGTAGCTCATGGAATGCAGCCAATAATAGCATTGCTGTCCACCCCAGGAACTAAGTTATGTTTAAGGATTTCATTGCTGACTAAGGGGAGAATAGAAAAACCACTGGCATTGGAGTTAAGAGAATCCAGGTTCTAAACCCAATTTTTTTTTCCTCGTTATCAGTGTAGCGTGGAGCAAGTCTCTTGTCCTCTTAAGATCATCAGCCCTCTGGGAAAGGAGGGATGGAATTCTATGACCTCTGGGGCTCTAACATCCTATGTGTAGGATTCAATATTATGTAAATAACAGAGTAAATAGTAGCTGATATTTATGTAATACTTGATGGTTTACAAAGCTCCCTACATGTTTTATTTCCTCTGATCCTCACAAAAAGCCTGTGAGATAAGTACTAGAGACATTATCATCCCCATCTGAAAGATGGGAAAAATGAGGATGAGAAATTACATATAAGCAACAATATGTCCTAAAAATAACAATTATAATAATCAATACTTAATAAAGTATACAGTCAGTCAGTCAACAAGTATTTATTAAATACCTGCTATGTGCCAGGCACTGTGCTAAATGCTGGAGATACAATGGGGGGCAAAAAACAGTCCTTGCTCTGAAGGATCTCTAATGGGGGAGAAGACATGACAACATGCTCACAATTATGGACAAACAAAACATAAACTGGACAAATTGGGGACGATCAGTAGAGGGAAGTCATTGGAATTAAGGGAGATTGTTTGCTATCTTTGGACTGGATTGTGATTTCACTGATAGGCAGAACTCACGGTGAGGAAACTCCCTTTACCAATTCAGGTTGGCATTTTCTCTGTAATTTACAGTCTTAGGGAGTTTCCTGGAAGTACTGGGAGATTAAGTGACTCGCTCAGGGTCACACCAGCTAGTTCTGCACCCAATATGGTGGTGTGCTACCATTCATACCAATTAATAGAACATATTTTCTTTAGTTATCAGTATCATTCTCATCTGTTTCCTGAGCAGATATAACAGGCCAAAAGGCAATTCACAGATATATTCTAAGCACAAATACACTACTAACAGTAAACAAGAAGTCATTTCAAAGGCATCTTCCATGACATGGATGACCAGAAAGGGGACTGGGCCAATTACATCAAAAACAATGAATCACATTTTGGTATCCATAAAATAACAAAAGACATTAGGGAAAAGTCCCCAGCAAATTGGACATATCCTCTACAGAAGATTTATGGAAGTACATGGAAAATTATCTTCCAGGATAACAAGTCCTGGGTGGGTTATAATCTGCACTGGTATTACATTCAACTGTGGGATCCTTAACAGGCTGTTTTTTTTGCCTTTTCTGATCTCCCTTAATTCTAGGGCCTTCCCTCTCTTGATTAACTCCAATTAACCTAGTTGACAGTATATGGGTACATAACTGTTTGCATCCTGTCTCCCCTATTAGACTGCAAGCTCCTTGGGGGCAGGCACTATCTTTTACCTTTCATTGTGTCCTCAGTGTTCATCACAAACACCCAGCACACCATAGATGCTTAATAAATGCTTGTTGACTTTGTTAATTTGGGAAAAAATGGCCACAGTGATGAGACCACCTGTCCCCTAAAGTACAAAAGGAAATATCCTTTTCTCCAGTCCAAAAATCCAACATTGATTAACCACATGACGTGTACATAGCACTATGGTCTTCATTTTCATTACAAAGTTATTTATCACAACAGCTCTGAAAAATAAATTGGTACTATTATTAGTGTTATCAATTAAATAAATTAATAATTTACTACTAATTATAGGAAGACAGGAAGGGAATAAGCATGTATTAAGCACCTACTACATGCCAGGCACTGCGCTAAGCAATTTTAAAATATTAATTCATTTGATTCTCACAATAACCCTGGGAGGTAGGTACTATTATAATCTCCATTTTTACAGATGAAGAAACTGAGGCAGACAGAGATTTAAGTGATTTGCTCAGGGTCACACAGCTAGAAAGTGTCTGAGCTTGGATTTGAACTCAAGTCTTCCTGACTCCAAGCCCAACACTATCTTTTGTGCCACCTAGCAGCCTCTGCAGAGGCAGGAGGGCAGTCGATAGAAGCACAGACTTGAAGCCAAGAAGATCAATATCCAAGCCCTGCCTTTGGCACATACTGACCATGTGACCAAGGACAAGCCACTTAACCTCTCAGTGCTCTAAGCAACTTTCCAAGACTATAAATTGCCTAAAAGGTATTAATCTGCATTGGTGAAAGGAATCACTTTACCCAGAAGCAGCCTATGCCAATGAAGTTACAGGTTCAGTCCCTGGCCCTTCCCTTCTATGAGGTACTAAGGCAGAGAGAGGGTCTTGGGTTGTTGTTGTTCAGTCGTCTTTCAGTAATATCTGACTATTCATGGTCACATTCGGGGTTTTCTTGGTAGAGATACTCATGTGATTTGCCATTTCCTTGTCCAGCTCATTTTACAGATGAGGAAACTGAGGCAAGCAGGGTTAAGTGACTTGCCCAGGGTCACACAGCTAGTAAGTTGTCTAAGGCAGTATTTGAACTCAAGAAGTTGAGTCTTCCTGACTACACGCCTGGCACATTACACCCTGAGCCACTTAACTGTTCCAGGTTAAGGGGTACTCAGCACCTAAATGACTGAGCCAAGGTAAGAACTTGGGGCCTTAGAGATATTAGACATTTACTTGGTAAAAGGAGCACCTCTGCCTCCCTCAGAGGGTGTCCCAGAGCGTCTTACCTACAATCAACTGACGCTCTACTACTCCTCTGATTCCTGCCCTGGATATCTCCCCACAATCAGATGAGGACAACGGCCTCAGGACTTACTTTCTTGGCGCACTTCCTGCAGGGCTGCCAGGAGCTCTTCCTTTAGGACAGTGGCCTCACTGGCAATCTTCTCCCCCTTGTCCAGTAAATTCCACGTGGCTTCTTCAACAGAAGCAAGAAGAACCCGGGCTCTTTTCGAACGTCCCTTTTTCCTATTAGAAAGATTCTGGGGACAATTCACCAGTGTGGTAACCTGCAATGGAAAAAGATAATATGTTACAAAGGATGAAATCTTTGAGTAAGTTGGCATAAAGTGAGAAAAGAGAAAAGGAAATATCCCAGTCCTGGGACATCTCAGTATCAGGGACCTGTCAGGATCTGGGGCATTTCAACCTCAGAAACTGGCTGTGAGGTAGAGGAGAGAGAGTACCTCCATCTGAGTCTCTGCTCCACTGCTTACTACATGTGACCTCGGGCAAGAAGCATTTCCTCAATGGGTCTCATTCTCCTCATTTTTAAAATAAATGAGGACTGGCCTACATGTACTCCAAAGTCCTATCTGTCTTAAAATTATGATCCTGTGAATATACGTATGACAATTATTTCATGAGCATTAGGAATTTTGGAGGCTAGAACCCCTCTATCCAGCCACCAAGACAAAACTAAAGGTGGGGACTTTGTCATAACAATTTCCATTGAACTTCTGATGGAAAGGAAGAATAAGAAATGGAGGTTGTTCTGTCTAGGATCCGAGAGCCAGGTAAAACTTGAATAGAGTGCTGACCATGGAGTCGAGGAAACTCGGGTGCAAATCCCACCTTTGACACTCACTAACTGTGTGATGGACAGGTGCGGACGGATTGCAGTAAACATCTAGAGGGTGAGAGCACAGATCTCTAAAACTGTTAGAGTATTTGGATCATAGATTACAGACCACATATCCCAGATCTGTGATCAGAAGATTATAGATAGTATCTCAGAGGCCAAAAGATCCAACCCCCTTATTTTACAGATGAGGAAACTGAGGACCAGGGAAATCGAAATGAAGTGCACAGTGTCACAGAGCTAGTAAATGTCAGAGGCAGGATTTGAATCCAGGACTTCTGACTCTATGCCAGCATTCTTTCCCCTGTCTTATACTGGCTTTGTCCCTTGCTACGAGAAACCAAATCTCCCCCACTGCCACATACTCAACACATATCAAGATTTGGGAGCTACTGGCAGAAATCCAAAATGAAAAAAAAAAGTCTTCAAACTCTCCAACTTTTGCTTAAAACCAAGAAGAAAGCATCTTTGTCTACCAAGTGCCTTCAGAATGCATTTGAACCAGTAAAATTTATGCATCTTCCTACTGCACATTCCTCCTCTATTGTGTGTGTCCTCCACACTTCAAATATCTCCCCTAGAACAGCCGAGGCTGTCAAATTTAAATGAGTGCATTCCAGAAAAGCTTTATTCTTTATTAGAAATGCTACCACTAAAAGAAATATGGCTAGAGCATGTGGGATAACACTGGGTTTCTATTCCCCTTCCCCACCCCCAATCCCATCACAACATGCAAAATCTTCAGTTGGCTTCAAATTCCCTCTGCACCAATGTCTCCATAGCTCCTTAATAAAATTGCTTCGTATTGATTTGACTGGAGTCGAGGAAAACTTCCAATGGTTTGCTTCATTGCAGAGGTAAGCGTGGTTTGCCAACTCTTTATAATAGTGGTTGAGTGAGTCTTCATTTTTTTCAGCAAGTCTCTAATGAGAGAGTTTCAGTTTGCTTTAAAAGGGGGACAGGGACAAGAAGTCTATTTTTCAAGTACATAGACAGAAAATCTGACAGAGGTTCTGAACTTGAGGATGTCTGTTCTTGAATACATAACGTAAGCATCCCTTGACCCTGGTGCGAGAAGTATGAGCTGCGAATTACTCACCTCGAGATAAGGAAAAGAGAATCACTAAGGCAGGGTGATCAGACCCTTGACCCAGGGTGCCAAAATCCAAGGGAGGGGGACTTCTCCCAGGACAGAGCTAGAAACCACTATCCCTGTACTTTGTAGCTTACCTCCTTCTACTTGTCTGCATGACTTCCTTGCCTTTCACAGACCTACTTCTATCCTTCCATGCCAAGGCACCCATTTCTTAGGGCCGACCTTCCCCCCAGACTCCAAGTGGTCACATGTAGAACTGTCTTGGAGATAGACTACCCTCCCCTTCATCATCATCATGTCCAAGGTCAGCTGTCTTTTGTGGAAAGATTCCTAGTCACAGAACTGGATAAGAAGTTGATAAAGAGAATTAAGTGAAAGATATATGATGTTGTTTCCCCATTCATCAAACTCCCAATCACCACTGGCCTAGGATGCTTACTATTCATACCTAATAACCATGTGAATAACTCTGTCATTGTATCTCTGAATCTCTATTGTTTGCATCTGTGAAATGGGGCTAATCACACTTTCCCTATTTATCTCAAGAGTTTATGAGAAAAACACTTCCATGTAATCAACGAAGTGCCATAGAGATGTGAGCTATTATATTTTTATGTTTTATTACAAACTTATCTTGTTATAAACTTGAAAGGCAGTGCAGAAGAGTGTGGATAAAGATTCTGGGGTGGCCTGGGAGTTAAGAAAATCTTGATTCCAGCCTTATCTCAGATATATACTGGCTGTGTGACCCTGGGCAAGTCATTGTCAGTGCCTCCAGGAAATTCCTAGGACAAGCAACAGAGAAGGTACTTACCTTCCTTGCTAGAGACAATTCCTTAGCAGAGTTCCCTACACTGATGAAATCTAGCATCTGGTCCAAATATATATATTTATATACATACACATATACACATATTTATTTATATATATACACACACACATACACATATTTATATATATATATATACACACATATATATAGAAAGAGAGAGAGAGCCAAACTGCTTTATCAAAATAAGACACCTCCCCCTTCACATTAAATCAGAGGGCCACAGATGGCTTTTGTGATGTTCTCTAGAGCTCTTGCAGGAGGGATAGGGGAGGATAGGGTAGCTCTGTAGTACCAGGGAGTGACTCCTCGTGGAAAGCAAGGAGGAAGAGGGGAGAACGAGTGGAGGGTGAAGCAGGCAGGACTTGAGATCTGGCCACCTAGCTCCCTGTGTATCTAAACCTTCAGGGCCAACAATAGCTCCTTAAGCCACCCAGCCAATGGGACAGGGAGGGAGGGAAAGAATAAGCATTTATGTAGCACTTACTACATGCAGGACACTGTGCTAAATGTTTTACAAATATTATCTCTATTGATCCTCACCACAATCCTGGAAGGCAGGTGCTATGATTATTCTCATTTTACAGTTGAGGAAACTGAGGCAGATGAGGCTAACAGTTTTGCCCCAGATCCCACAGCTAGTAAGTGCCTGAGGCCAGATTTGAACTCAGGTCTTCCTGACTCCGGGCCCAGTGTCCAATCCGCTTGACCTCCTAGCTACCACAAGGGGAAGGGAAGCAAACTCTAACCCCAGGACTAAATGGTCTCTGAGGGCTATTCAAGTTCTAAGTCTATCTTCTAATGACCTGAGTTTGAATCCTGGCTTTGCCAGTTTCTACAAGTGCCACCTTGGGCAAGTTTTCTCATCTCCACTGCCAATCCAGGCTCTTGCTTTCCTAGCCACCAGGTGACTGACTTCATTTCCCGGGTGTGGCCTCCAAAACAGTGGACTCATGATATCCCAGGTTCTCCATCTGCCTGTCCCCCCAACTGAGGCCACCATTGGTGCCACCCAAGTGAGGTTTGTGACATTTGCCCCAGGTGCGCTTGTGCGCACACACACACACACACACACACACACACACACCTAGTTCCATTTTAGTGGGTTAGCCACCCACTAAAGTTCTATCCAGATGCTTCACCCTGGTGCAATCACACCCATGGTTCCCCAGGGGCTCAGTCAACAGACACTGTACTCCCTTCCAAGATCATCATGAATGGGAAAGCCTTTTGGGGTAGACCCAATGAGTGACTTTAAATAGCTCTACAGATCTTTTCTCCCTTTGTGCAGTCATCACTTAGAAATTGCTCTCTGTCAGGCTCCTTGTAGAGATCTCAAGAGACTTTTCTGCAATGAGCCTGGCTGGTACAGAGGTTACCATCAGCCATTTCTGTTCTGGGGCTACTTCAAGGATGTGGCAGGAAGTCCAAGTCTTCCAGCCTTCTGAAGTACACAAGGACTTTCCCTGGTCAAAGTGGAGGGAGGAGACAGGTCTGCTCCTCCTCCTTCCCCTCCAAGCAGTTCTCAGGGGCTTGGCTGTTGCTATTTCATCACTAGACTGGCTAGAAACACTAGCTTCTGAACTAGCTGACTGCTTATATCTAAGCCCCATAGCTATGACAATCAACTCTTCAACCAAATGCTACAGCCTATCACACATAGTTTACACTCTTGATTCATAATTCAATGGAGGTTTAGGCCTTGTTCACACCTAGTTCATACCTCAGATTCAGCTGAGATGTCTGGGCCTTCTATATTCCATTACACAGGGGTGGATCCCCACCCTTATAATAAATATTATTCTGGTTTCTTCTAGATTTTTCCTGGGGTTTTGTTTGTTTGTCTACAATTGACTGACCCATTTGGAATTTGATATATGACATGACCAGGTTGCACAGTGGATAGAGTGCTAGCCTGGAGTCAGAAAGACTGGTCTTCCTGAGTTCAAATCTAGCCTCAGACACTTACTAGCTGTGCAACCCTGGGCAAGTCACTTAACCCTGTTTCCTCATCTGTTAAATGAGCTGGAGAAGGAAATGGCAAAACACATGGATATCTCTGCCAAAGAAAACCCCAAATGAGGTCATGAAAAGTCAGGTGCAATTGAATGAATATAATGAATGAATATAAATCCAAATTTATTTTTTTTCCTATATTGCTGTCCAATTGACCTAAGATCTTCCCCTAATGACTCTTCTTCCAGAATTACTTTTGTTTTGTCCTAACCTAAGTTCTTGGTGGTGTACCAGGAAGAGAGCTAGACTTAGAATGAGAAAGTTCTTAATAGAGAACCAGAAAGAGAACTAGCCTTGAAGTGAGGAGGAACAAGGTTTGAATCCCAGCTCTAAAACGTAGTAGCTGTGTGACCTTGGGCAAGTCATTCTACTTTCCTGAACCTCACTTTCCTTCTCCCTAATACAGGGATAAAAATCCTTATACCATCTACCTTCTAGGGTTGTGGTGTTGTTACTCTAAAATAATTATAGAAGTAGGAGCTGTTAT